CTCCTTTTTGACTGGTGTGGGAGACTTATTGAGGGGTGGGAAGTTGACCCCTGGATATTGAGGGGTCAAAAAAACCTGCACAAAAAAATGTGGACTGGCATATACAGGGGCAGCATGTGCTTCTCAAAGCCAGAACCAGGCTGGCCAGAGCCATGCTTTGGCTGCTGGCTTGGATCCAAGCGGCAGGATGGCGGATGCTGCAGGATGGCTGCTGCTGCTGCAGCCCCAGGAGGCCTTCAGGACAGCACCTTCAGGGGCCCCAGCCTCCCCTACCCCAGCCAGAGTAACTTGTTGTGTGCTAGAGGGTATGTGGCACAGGCATTCCCTGGGGACAACTAGCAGCGGCACAAGGTATGCCACTGCTGGTTGCCCCCAGGGAACCAAATGTCCATGTTCATCTGGATGAGGCCAAGGTGTGTATTGTCTTAACTATGAAAAGTTTGCAATTCTGTAAATAAAATTAAAAAACACAATAACTGAGTCACCAGTTCACTAACTAGGTAAGTTTCCCTTTTCTCTTCCCCTTGGACTGGCATGTGGATTTGTTCATTCAACACCTGTTATAATGTTTCAGCCAAACCAATCAGTGTGCCCTAAAACACACAACAGTTTTAAAAATTGATTATATTGGTTAAGCTGTCATCTGAGTATTTAATTTCACAGGTTTGCTTCATCTCAGTGCAACAAACGGTGATACATCTTCCTTTGAACGTACTTGGAGCAGAAATCTGTATCTTCAGTTTGAAGTGCCAGAAGACAATGGAGAAGCCCACATTTAAGTTCTATCAGAATGTTTTTCCCTAGTCTAGATTCAGCTATATTAGACCATGACCTGTACTTTGTGAAATCCATCTGAAATGTCCTCCTATTGCTTTTGTAAATGTAATGTTTCTGTGCAGAGTCCATTGTGTGCTTCTGAAGGCAGCATCTTTCTCATTCTGAGTGCATATTCCAGCATACTTCTGGTACCACTAACACAGCTTAAGTGAGTTTGCTTTGCTGCCATACCTGCAGAAAAAAATAGGGTGTTACAATGCAGTGTTCAGTCCTCCTGCCAGCACCTACCAAGGTAAAACAGATCCTTAAATCAGCCATGGAGGATTGGAAGCAAATGTGGAGAGATCAGTTTCCCTGAGAGTTTTCTCAAGCATTGGGAAGTTGAGTCCTCAATCTTACTTTTTCATTTAACTATCCATGAAGCTGATGATGGCTGCAGAAGAATGTGTATTGAGACTATATTAAGTATTCTTTATCACTAAAGTTTGAAGAGAGTCAACAGACATGTGCTAAAGTTTAGAAGGGGTTGTACCTGGGAATCTCCCATTTTTTCCATGTTATTTTTATGATATCAGAAAATAACAAAAGATCTTGTCCTTAGACTTTTCCCTTGCATTCTTTCATGGCAGTCACAGTAACTGGGCTACATTTTTTTCAGGTATTGCACCAGTTGCATAAAGTGCAAAAGCATTAGCCCTTCTCTTAATGGTTTTAGCCTTTATCAGATCATTTCAGCCAATTATGTTGCAGCAGTATAGGGGCTGGTTCTTTAGTTTTTCCTTTAATTTTTCTTTTGTTTCTTTTCTTCTAGCATCTAGTAGTAGAACTGCAAGTTTAAATTGCCTGGGGGAGCAGTGTAGTACTAGATTTTGTTCACCTTTATTTACTGGTTAAAGCTGCGTGCAAATGAAAGGATCTATCTTGATTGGCACAGCTTAAACTAAGTTTGCACAGCTGGTGTTTAGGAAAAAAACATTTTATACAGTTACTTGTAAACTGAGTATATTTGATGTGGAAGTTGCTGAAAGATGACAAATCCCACACAGCCTTTCCTTTAGAGTCATTATTCACAGGAGAATAGTTCCTTTGGTGCTGACAGAACAGTGCTGCATCGGACTTGCAGTCTCAGGTATAAAATGTACAGGTATACAAGAAATTTTCCACATTCTTCTCTATCAAGTTGCCTTCTCCTTCTGGGTACATATAGGTGATAGAGTATTTTAATTCTGGACACCTCACCGTTCCCCAGGTAGAAGCTACCAATGATTGTGAAGTTTGTTAGATGGACACCTGACTGAGATAAATGTTTTGCAGTACCAATCCATTTTTCTAATGAAAATGATTTTTGATTGCTATCAGCCTGGGTTAGAAAGGAATCACACCAACATATAGCTAAGAGATGCAATTGTGTGTTACCAATCCTCCCACAAGCATTCATTTTACTTACTGTATTTTAGGGTGGCATGGGGCCTGCGGGACCTAGTGGACCTTCTGGAATTCCTGGGCCAATGGTATGGTGTTAAGCAGAACTCCCATTAGCATTCATTACATGCCATTAATGTTTTCTATATAATAGTAAAACTTTGATATTTCTTTTTATTTTAATAGGGACTCCCAGGAAGTATGGGACAACCCGGAATGAAAGGTGATAAGGTGATCTAAATATTTCCATTATCATAGAGATACTTTGGGCTTTCTTTATCAAATAATTGAGCAAGATGTTTATTTTGCAAGCCCTCCCTTATTTTGAATTATTTGCTCTTCTGTTTTCTTTTCAAACAAATGTAGACTGAGACTATACCCTTCCTACTATATGTACTAACAGCAAGAGCTATGTTAGTGGTTTTGGCAGGACTGTTTTTTACAATGATACATCCTGCACTATCATTCCAAGAATTTTGTTACTAGATTTAAGTATCCTGATTTCATATGCTCACAGAATAGGGCTGGAAGAGGCCTCAGAAGGTCTTCCTCACTCAGCACAGGATTGTTTCTGTTCAAATTATCCCAGACATCCTGTTCGTCTCTCACCTGTACATAAAAACTCCCATTGATAAAGATTCCCCAACTCCTCTATGTAATCCAATCCAGTGCTTAAACACTCTTTTATTTAGAAAGTTCTTTCTAGAATCTAACTTAAATCTTTCTCACTGAAATGTAAAGCCATTACAACTTGTCCTGTCCTGTTCCCCCATGGACATGAAGAAAAATTGATCACAATCCTCTTCGTATTTGCAAACTACTTTCAAATCCCATCTCAGTCTTCTCTTCTCTAGACTAAATCATCATAATTCTTTCAACCTTTTCCCGTAAGTCAAGTTTTCTAGGCCTCTAATTTACATGTTTTTACTTCTGTCATTTTGAAAAAATGTACCATTTAAAGCTGCATGTATGTGTCTCCATAAAATAATATGTTGTTCAGGGTGAACAAGGCATTGCAGGAGATCTGGGAGACCAGGGGTATCCAGGAGACAAGGTAATTTAGACCAGCACCACCTTGACAGTTTTTTGCTTGTAAGTAGCCCTATCTTCTTTTAAATTGCAGCACATCATTTTGATTAAAGTAGACTTCGGCAGGTAACAGCTACTGAATGCCACACAGCTACTACATTTTTGTAGCATTAATTACTCTGTTTGAGAAATAAATGATCAAAGACATACAAAATGTATGGGCCAAATTCAGTCTGCCATGTGGACAGAGATTCATGCCAGAAAATGTAAAGTAGCAAAGACAGCATGGAGCAGTCTGGTTCCTACCAAAACTCATTAAGAGACTGTTATGCAGCACATTTGCTGTTGAAGCAGAAAGAATCCAGTTGTACCAAACCTGAAGTGATTAAACCCCAGGGGCAGCAGCCAGACAAAACTATTGATTAGACAGGCCAGGATGTCCCTAGATATTAGAAAAATGGATAATAATTTTTTTTTCTCTCCTCTTCGAGTAATTATTTTTTTAGTTAATCCATAACTCTTAAATAACGTTGGAATCTTGTTTTTACAAAAAAAAATCTGATTATATTTTGGTCTCATAAAGATGTTATTATAACAGAAATAACTACAATAATGTAACCTAATGGAATTATTTTTCTGAAATCTGAGTGGAAGACCACATTTCAGATCCAGCTGAATAGATCTGAAATCTGGTTTGAGTGGTAAAGTGAAGCCATTGTTTTTACTACCTATGATGTAATGCTCAGTTCATTTTCAACAATATTTAATAGATGTATTCTTTTAAGGGTGCTGTTGGTTTGCCAGGACCACCAGGGATCCGAGGAAAGCCTGGACAACCTGTAAGTTTGCCCACCTTTTTGCACTGTGGTTACGTCAATATGCACCACAAGTGCTGACGCTTGTTTTCATTGTTCAGAAAAACCATGCATTTTAGGGATTATTTAAAACCTCTTTTATACTGGTGTAAATTGAGAATTGACTTATTTGGAGTTATGGAAGTGACAGCCCTTATGTAAGTGAAATCAGATTCCTGCCCAGGATACGTCTTTTTCTGCTCTTTCACTAATCCAGCAGACCAGACTTTTCAGTTCCACTCAGACCATAATTAGTCCACATATATTTAACACATACTTTATCATTGTTATACTAATAATTCACTTTTCCCCAAATGTATATAGCTTAAAATAAGTGTAGAAATTCTGTTAGGTGATGATTAAACTAGCTAACTAGTTAGCTTTTCACGGAAGTCATGGGGCATTTTTACATGTGCATGGGGGGGCACTTTAATTGGAGTGGCTCAAAGACCTGCTCAGATTAAATGCCCTCAGCATCTCATGTATCAGCATCCCTGCACTTCAAAATGGCACTGAGGGCGCTTTAATCAAGTCTGCTCTGATGCGCTGTAATTACAGTGCATTGGAGCAGCCTCCCCGTATATCTACAGGCATCCATCGAGTCCTCTGGATGTGTGTATGTCAGTTGTTTTTTAATCCACAACTTCAGTGACACTGTGGAGCATTCATGTGCAAATTAATTAATACAAGTGTATTGCTTGAACCAATTTCACAGATAAAAATGGGGGCTGCCAGGTTGCCACTTGGACTAAGTGGGGCTAATCTTTTATCACAGGGCTGGGGGAGGTTATGGATTCTGTGGTTTAAGTGCTTTTGATAATTTCTGTGCAGTGCTTCTGTTCCCGTTGACTTTACAAATGCTGAGGCAGGGAAGCAGCCCTGAGGATGAGTTAGCTTGGCTGTATCATGTCCCGTGTTGCAATGCTAACACTGCAGAACTGAGATGGTTTGCAGCAGTAAAACAAAGGATGTTTTGATTCTGATAATCCAGACCTTAATTTTTGGAAAGTTACTTACCATATATTAGTATTTTGGCTCTAGAGCAGTAGCAAAATGATAGAAAATTAGGGTTGGAAGGGACCTCAGGAGGTTATCTAGTCCAACCCCCTGCTCCAAGCAGGACCATCCACAACTAGATCATCCCATCCAGGGTTTTGTCAGGCCAGGCCTTAAAAACCTCCAAGGATGGAGATTCCATCACCTCTGTAGGTAACCTGGTCCAGTGCTTCACCACCCTCCTAGTGAGAGAGTTTTTCCTAATATCTAACCTAAACTTCCCTTGCTGCACCTTGAGACAATTGCTCCTTGTTCTGTCATCTGTCACCACTGAGAACAGTCTCACTCCATCCTCTTTGGAACCACCCTTCAGGTAGTTAAAGGCTGCTATCAAATCCGCCCTCAGCCTTCTCTTCTGAAGACTAAACAAGCCCAGTTCCCTCAGCCTTTCCTTATAAGTCATGTGCCTCAGCCCCCTAACCATTTTCATTGCTGTCCACTGTACTCTTTCCAACTTGTCCACGTCTTTTTTCTTTTTGGGGGGGGAGGGGGAAGGCGAGGTTTAAAACTGGACACAGTACTCCACATGTGGCCTTTCCAGTGCAGAGTAAATCGGAGTAATTACTTCCCTCAATCTTCTGGCAATGCTCCTACTAACACAGCCCAGTAGAGGTGTGCGAAGCAGGCCATATTCGATTTGAGTTCGGCCTGATCTGGGGGACAATGATTCTATTCATTAATTCAGATCACTGCTCCTATCCAATTCAGCCAAATCAAAGATCTGAAGATTTGCATCTGATTCAGAGAATCAGCAATTTGGCTATAGACACAGCTTTAAATGTCTTTTCTACATACCTCAAGGTACCAGGCAGCTCATGAATGCTGAGATGGTGGGGTGGATGGAACTTCCCACAGGAGCGCCGGGGGCCCCTGGGTGCTTGGTCGTGGACCCCCTCCCATGCCTCCCTGGCTCGACGGTCAGCCACAGGGGGACCCTGGGTGCCCCCCCAGACCCAGGAAGTACCAGTCACATAGCCGGGGAGGGGGGTCCCCCACACACTCTGCAGCCGACCCAGAAGTGGACCGGAAGTGCTTCTGGTCCACTTCCGGGTCCACCACCAAGTACACTGGGGACCCCTTGCTCTCCCATGGGAGGCTCCATCTGCCCCACCATCTCAGCATTCATGAGCTGCCTGGTACCTTGAGGTATGTAGAAAAACATATAAATCCGTGTCTATGTCCGAATCATCAAATCTTTCTAAATTGATTCAGAGGCTTCTGATTTGATTCGGAGAGATAAATGGTTCTCCTGATTCAATTTGGATTCAGAGATTTGGCTGCTGAATCGGGCCATATCTCCGCCCAGTCAAATTAATGACTGAAGCTTCTCACAGCCCAGTAGCCTTCTTGTCAACAAGGGCACACTTCTAACTAATATCCAACTTATTGTCTACTGTAACCCCAAGTCCTTTTCTTAGCCAGTCAGTTCCCAGGCTGTACTGGTGCATGGGATTCTTCCATCCTAAGTGCAGGACTTTGCATTTGTCCTTGCTGAACCTCATAAGACTAAAATTATCTGCTCTGCCACTGTACCCCTAGATACAGTGATTTTCAACCTTTTTTAATTTTGGACCCCTAATAAATTTCAAATGGAGGTGCAGACCCCTGTGGAAATTTCAGATGAAGGTGAGGACCCCTTTGAATTCTCATACTTTTGATTGATCATAGTCATCCTTCACGGACCCCTCAGAGACAGTCAGCAGACCCCCAGGGGTTGAACGCCACTTGTTTTCAGTTGAAAACCACTGCCATAGAGGAACACACCCACAGTCGAGTTTATATGACAATTCCTGTAACAAGCCCTATTTTGAAACATCTAGAAATTATCATCTTCATTGTTGTAGTTGTAAAAAAAGAAAAATGTTCGATTAAGAATACCAGTAATAAAGAAATCTTCATAATTAAATTGACAAAGAAATGAAGTGTAAAATCCAGCTAAGTATTTTGATTGTTATTTTGATAAGCACTTTCTATTACAAATCTGTTTTTTTTATAAGGCTGTGATTTCCTATCCAATTTAAAATTATTTTTCGCTTTTTAAGGGGAAAACTGGAGAACCTGGACCCCAGGGGCCATCGGGTCCTCCTGGGCCTGAGGTAAGAAATTGTGTAAAAATGAAAATAAGTGTCATTTACTTTTAACTGTGGTTGAAAACAAAAATGACGAGTATGTGGCTGCTCTGCTCAAAGATTTGGTCTTCGATTGGCTTGAAAGTGTCAGCCACCTAGGGCCTGTGGGAAAAATACAGCCCATGGACCACTGGACCCGGGACAGAGCCAAAGGTATTTTGTACTCTGTACTGTGCTGTGGCAGAGCCCTAGTCCTGTCTTGCTTTGGACCCAAGCTGGGTTGTTGCGGCCTGCTGGCTGAAAACATTGCTGACTGCTAACTTAAAGTGTGGGTCTTTATTGTTCATCTTATCATGTTTTGCAGTTTTACAAATAAATTAGTTCAACTGCTCATTGTACAATAAGGTATTATTGCAATAATTTTACTGCCCTGAATTGATACACATTCTTCGTATATTGCTGGAAGTACACCATTCATTTGTGTAATATAGTTCCAGGTACTTTTTCATTACAACTAGTGCGTATGATTCTTTAAATGACATTTCCATGCATGAACTCTTCAGCATGTTTACGTTCAGATTTTTCCAAGACTGGCTGTATATTTATGTTTGCATCTTATAACAGAGCAAATGTATCTGAGAACACTGAAAAGACCAGACACTAGGCAATCTGGATATATTGTTTAAAATTTTGACCTTGGCATAGCAGTTGACTTAGAACTCCACATCAAGTTCCAACATCTGTGGAAGTCCACATTAAACCTAGCTCAATCTTTGCAATGCAGTATTTGTGAGTTTTATGGCATTTGTATGTGTAGACAGAATGCTTCAGACTATACAGAAAAGCCTCACCATTCTCTGGGCAGAAAAAAAGTATCCGTTTTTTCTTCTTAGTCGGGTAAACCCTTACAACAGATTTATGTAAAAACCTTTCTGATCTTTAATATGAGTATATATATGTTAAATACAGTATAATTTCCATTGATGATTGTAACAAATGCTAGAATCACTATATCTCTCTGAGAACATGCCCTTTTAGACTGACACGAGGGTAGACCCTATGACTTCACTACCTCAAGAATGGATAATTGGCTTTTGTCCCCTGTTCTTCTCAGTGGCTAAGTCCAAAATAGCATGACTTACTTGTTGCAGTCTTACCTTTGGGAAGTCTTGAGGTCTGTAGACATTTTAAACCAGTACAGGTCAGCTTTTCCAAAGCAAGCCAGTATTTAATAGTTAACAGAAATACAGTATTTGTATTCAAGTAAAATCGGTTCATAGCGCTCACTCATTCTCTCTTTCTCTCTCTTTCCTGTGTGCTGTCTCACACGCTCTCTTTCACACACACACACACACACACACACACACACACACACACACAC